TAAATTCCTTTACTGCTATTTTTGTTTCAATGTTTCGCTTACGATATTGGAATCAATTTTGTCCGTTTTGTGCTAAATTTAACGCCGTCCTGTAAGTTTTGGGCCTTCTTATATTGGGTAACTAGTAAATATGTCTTGATCTAATTAATACAAAGCCGAAATTTATTAATTGAATAGCTGCCCCTTGACTAAGTTCTGATAGGGTGGAGGAATGGAATAGTTAGTAGACTGGGCCGGAAGTACCTAGTCAGTCATTCAAAAAGACAACACTTGATATTATTCAGATTAGTACCTTTTATTGAGAAAATCTCGTTCTCGTAGTCGTTCTCGTCGTCGAATCTAAAGGTCTCTAATACCATTCAACACAATACCTAACCAGTCTTATGCGCAGTCTCAACAACATAGCCAGGAAAATTCTTCATTAAATCCCCTAAAGAAGGACGGGTTGTCCGTCCGAAATATCGGGAAACCTCAAGTCGGTTTTCTCTTTGCTGTTTTGTTATTTATGTCTATATTTTTGTCTAGGAAATGTAGCGACGTTGTAGTACTAGATAGTGAACAGTACCACGCGCAATTGCTCGGTATCAGCTAATATTTCATGCTTGTAGTCGCCATCTTTGATTTCGAAAAGAGGAATACTGGGGAGGGTAATAAGTGGGACCATTAGGGTGGGTATGAAGGGAAAGAACAGAGGGAATTGGTAAGGAAATCTCCCCCACCCCCACCCCTGCCGCTACTCCTTCCCTCACCTTTCATGATACGTCCACCACAACCTGAGCGAGAAAAAGAACCTGCGTGACAGCCTTAAAAGAGGAGGGGGAGGGGGTGAAAACCTAGGGTATTTACCATTTACATGGGGAACTCGGAAAGCTCGGTGGGAGAATCAAATGGTTCGCGCTATTCCGTTTGGAAAGCTTCAGAAAATATGGGCTGTGATATGAGGCGATGAAACTTTTCTACTCTTCAGCTGATTTGGATATACTTTATGGCATTCCGTTCTCTCACCAAGTCAAATTCAAAAGTTTTATAATTATGCAGGAGATTTTTGGTTTGTGTAAATAGTAGGCCTCCTTTACTGTCCTCTCTCCCCCCCCCCCCCCCC